TCCCCCCACGCCCCACCCCCCCCCCACCCCCCCCCCCCCCCCCCCCCCCCCCCCCCCCCCCCCCCCCCCCCCCGCAACACGAACAACCAACCCAGCGATGACCACCGAGCCACCGCAGGAAGTGCCCTGGGTTCCTGAGCTGGGGTGGTGGGAGGTGAGGGCTTTTGCTACACCCCCCTAACATCTGCACCCAGCCCGGCAATGACCAAGCTACCACTGGAAGCCTCCTGGTCTCCCCTGTGGGAATGAGGGGCTGCCACAGGCCTCAATCCCACCCCTCCTCCTGCTGCCTTCTTCCATCACATTTCCTTCCCCTTTCCCCTCTCCCTCTCCCTCCCAACTGTTCTGCAACATCATAGAATGTAAAAAAAAATTTTAAAAACATTTTTAAAAAAGATAATGAATTTTTTTTGTTTGTTTTTTTCCTGGTTGTAGCAGCCTTTAATTGAAGGTTTGGGGGCATGGCAAAATACAGGGCAAAAAAGAGTACTTAAAATGAAATATCAGGCATTGTTTACCCATTCTTGCCACTAGAAAGTTCTCGCTGTTTTATTGCTATTTACTTAGCTCTTCTACCTGTTTTATTCTGTCCCTCACTGCTACCAACCCCAAGCATCTCTCCCTTCTTGACAAATTCTGTCCAAAGAAATTCAGCCACTTATGCTCTTTGTGTCCCTCCCCCTCCAAAGACAGTCCATGCCCTGGAGAGCAAAATTTTTATATTCAAGAATCTATTGGGCCGGCCTGTGGCTCACTCGGGAGAGTGCGGTGCTGATAACACCAAGGCTGCGGGTTCAGATCCCATATAGGGATGGCNATATATATATATATATATATATATATATATATTGTTAAATAACAATTTCTCTTCCTGCAGTATTTTGCTGTTAAATTTTAAAGTAACAATAATTTTATTCTCACATTTTAAAAAATGTTTACCTCAATTACTTCCAAAACAGAGATGAGAGGCTGCAAAATAAAAGATAGGTATACAATAGAATCAGGAAGATACAAATATAGATATATGGAGCTATATGTCTAAGGAAATTTGGGTTAACATAATGAATTTGAATATTCGATTCAACTGTCGAAGCCAATGCTAAAAACTGAAGAGATAATGATGATTAATAGCAGGAAATGTTTTTGAAACTTTACTCTGTACAGGTGTTTTGATAGATACTTTACATCATCTCATTAAATCCTCACAGCAACCCTGTGGATATTGTCTCCATTTTACCGATGAAGAAAGTAAGGTGTATAACGTGTCTAAGGACGCACAGTCAGGAGCAAGGACCCCTGACGCCAAAATTTGTGCTCCTATATAAACTGCCTCTACTTGCTCTGGTGATTCGAATCTAATCCAACACATTAATTTTACAGATGAGGCTCAAGGAGGGAAAAATGTTACCCAAGAGAGGGGAAGTACCTTAACCAACTCTTACATAAGGAAACTAGAATTTGAACTTCCCTTCAAGGCGCCATCTGGTACACAGTTAGCAGAGAAACTCAGATTTAAGTAACTTTATTAAGGGCTGGCCCATGGCTCACTTGGGAGAGCGTGGTGCTGACAACATCAAGTCAAGGATTAAGATCCCCTTACCGGTCATCTTTTAAGAAAAGAAAAAATAAACTTTATTAAGTACTTGCATCATTTCAATTCATCCTCGAAACAGCCCCCACAAAGTACTGTACTGATCAGATGGGGAAACAGAGGCTCAAAGGGATAAGCAATCCCCCCCCCCCCAAGATCAATTTAGCGAAATAGCTGCACTGTCAAGATCACACACTCAGGCTCCGAGGAGTCCAGCAGTCTCACTAACCTAACGCAAAGTTTCCCGCGTCCAGCGCCCCGGGACTGTTTTGAAAGAATCCATTATTTCTCTGGATGCGGTGGATTCTGGGATTTGCAACAATCCCGCGAAAAGTCTGGAGCCTGTGGACCAATAGAATTCGCGCACGGACGACTGTGCCCGCCTCCACTGCCTGCTGGTTGCTGGGCTCTTCCTCGAATTGGCCAATGAGAAGCGCACGAGTCCTGGTCGCCTGGGAAACCGCATGACAACAAGATGGCGGCGCCGCGGGACGGCTGGCTGGCCTTGCGAGGTGAGTCTGACCCAGGGCCTTTCTGCCCCTGGGGTCCCCCTCGCAGGTTGGGGCCTTCGCCCGAGAGTGCCGAGGGTCCGAGAGTCCCGAGGGTCCGAGAGCCCCGCGGGCCCGGTTCCCCCAGCAGGCCCCCCACGTCCCGGGAGCGCATTCGGGACCCCGCTTACCATGACTACGGGGGGAGGCAGAAGGAGGCGACGCGGCCCCCAGGGAGGGCTTAGGTCGTGATAGATGTCGCGCTGTGAGAGCGTCCAGGGGGATTAGGGAGTGAAGTCTTGCAGCCGGCCGGGCCCTACCGGCGCAGCGCCGGAGCGTTGGCGCCTGTAGGTGACGGATAGGATGTTGTCAGTCAAGCACAGTACTGAGTTCGGTCGCAAAGATGTAGAAGCATAGGACACAGCTTTACCCTCAGAGCCCGGGTCTGAAGGGAGAGACAGCCGAACGTTTAGGAGCCTTTGGTCTGAGTGGAAAGACACAGTCCTGCCCCTGGAAGCCCCCAAAGTGAAGGGGGTCTGAGAGAAGAGGAGACACAGCCCTGCCCTTAGGAGTCCCCTAACCGATGGGGAGACACAGTCTTTGCCCTCGGGTGACTCCTGTAATCCATGGGAAGATTAATCCGGAGACAGTGTATGGAGTGAGACTGGAAGCAGGGAAGTCAGTTGGGGGCCATTGTGACAGCCCCAAAGAAGGGCAGTGAGAATCCCACTAGGATGGCCAACAGTGGGCATGGGAAGGAGGAGCTACATGTAAGACAGTGCAGAATTCAGCCTGCACGGTTTGGTAACTGATGGGATTAAGAGGGAAGGAAGAAGAGAAAAATGTTGTGGTTGGATGATGAGGTCCCATTAAGAAGGGGGAAGTGGGAGGAACTTGCACGGGAGAGAACTTTCATCTTTCTCGAAGGTTCAGTAATTAAGTCTATGAAATAAAAAGCCACTTAAATTATGTGCACACTCATGGTAGTCCCACAAAATGAGCCTCGAAGAAGGGTCAGATGATTAAGGTTTTTATAGCATCCTGAGCTACAGAACGAAATAGGGACTTAGGGATTGTGGGAGTGGGATGGTGGTGACAAAGTTGTGGGAGGGTGAGGGCAGGAAATGCAGGGTGAACAAAGGTTGTCTGTTACACAGATAAAAAGTCTCTCAGGTCATAAAAATCTCAGAGCAGCCTGCCAAAGAATAGGAGATAGCCTGTGACAAAGTCTGTTGTGTAGACCTTAAGTCTCTTCTCTTGTGATACAGTTAATCTTCCCAGGGAGGAAGTTCATTGGCAGTTGAGTTCTTTTTTGGAGGATTTATCTTTAAGCAGATAAAGGGACTTCAGAGAAAACTCCTTCCTGCACATCTCATCACACCGTGGGAGTGGCTCTTTTTTGGTTCAAAGCACTCAGCATGCTTTGGGGTATGGTTTTCTGAGCCCCAACAAACTGATTTTGAGGGAAGACTGTTGGGTTTGTTTGCAGACTAGTTGCTTTTTCTTTTATGACAGCTTTATTGAGATACAATTCACCTACATTTCACCTCTTTAAAGTGTAAATTTCAATCATTTTTAGTACACGTTCCGTTTATGAAGAGAAAAGTCCAGAATGGGCAGATCTATAGAGACAGAAAGTAGATTAGTGGTTGCCTAGGGCTGGGGAAGGGGGTGAGGGTTGAGGGGTAAATGGGGGGTTGGTAACTGCTAAAGAGTACAGGGTCTTTTTAGGTTGATGAAAATGTTCTAAAATTGATTGTGGTGCTGGTTGCACAACTGTGAATATACTGAAAACTTAAATTTATACTTTAAAGGGTGAAGTATGTGAATTTTTAAAAAGTTATATAGTGTATAATTCCATTTACATAACTTTCTCGAAGTAAGAAAATTATAGAGATGGAAAACAGAATAGTGATTGCCAGGGGTTAGGGCTGGGGGAGGGGAGGAGGATGGGTGTGACTGTGAGCAGGTAGCACAAGGGAGATCTTGATTGTGGTGGTGGTCACACCACATCTACCCATGTGATCAAATGGTGTAGAACTACACACAAACTGTACGAAAAAAATGTCAATTTCCTGATTTTGATATTGCACAATAGTTGTATAAAATGTAGCTATGGAGGGAAACTGAGAGAAGGATACACAGGACCTTCTATACTATTTTCCTAATTTCCTGTGAATCTATAATTTTTAAATAAAAAGCTAAAATGTAACTAAAAAACAAACTGAAGGGAAAAAAAGGGAGGGGGAGTTACCCCAGCCAAGGGAAGAGTGCAAGTAGGAGTGGGAAGACCATTCGAGGAGGGGGCTCCAGGCAGGAAGCCACAGGTTCACTGAGGCACAGCCAGAAGTTCAGGTGGCTCAAGTGTAGGAGGCGACAAGTTGGGGGATGAGGTCAGGAGACACAGGCAAAGACTGGATCACCTGTATTAAGGAATTTGGAATTTTTTTCTGTGGGTGAGAAGGAGCCATTGGGGAACTTGGTGTTTTAAGAAGATCCCCTGGCAGTGTATGGAGCCTGATAATGAAGGGAGTCACCAGAGGTTGTCATACTTGGCCACACAAACCATGAGGATGCCATACAGGGCCAGGGCTGGGGCAGGGCAGGTGTGAGGAATCTCCAGGCCTGGCCCTTGGAGGAGAGCTCCTTCTGAGGAAGGGGCAGGTCATGAGTCTCAAACTCTGAAATGAAGGCACGGGAGGCTGTCTTCAGGCAGCACAGGGCCCCTTGCTGGGCAGCTTCAGGGGTAGGGTGGAGGCCAGCACCACACATTTCCCGAGTGGAACTTCCTTGGATTTGTCCTAAAGAGACTTGGTTCAGGCCCTCCCTAATGGAGGTCCTTTGGTTCTAGGATTTGTAAATATTAGCCACTTATTATACTTTATTCACTGAATAGAGTAGTGGCCTTTAATTACGTTCCTGATGTGCATTCCTCTTTCGAGAAGGATGAGGGAAGGAGAGGGAACCATTTATGAGTGCCTTTCATATGCCAGTAACGACAAAAACCACAACAGCCACAGCTCACAGTTTTAAGCAATTTCATTGATAATGCATTGGTTTAGATGCTTTATGTTATCTCTGAATCCCCTCAATAACCCTGCCTGCCCAGTATTATTACTATCTCCATTTTACCCCAAAGGAAACCAAGGTGCAGGTTACGCTAGTGGGTGGCAGGACCTGTCCAGAGCCTGGGCTCTTAATCTCCTTATCGCATGGATGGTGTCTTAATTGAATCCTGCCTTTGGGTTGCTCCTCTCTGGCTCTGAGATGTTAGGAGTGGCACCTGGGTTCTGGTAGGAGGGAGGGACACACCTGGGCTTTGTCACCCAGCTCGCTGATGGATGGACAAAAGCCCCAGGCTCTAAGTTTGAGGAAGTCCCAGTTCACCCATCTCTGCACCACCCACCTCCATGGCCCTTTCCCAAGCACTACCAGGCCAGAGGTCTCCAGGGTTAGAGCAGAAATCTGGATATCCAGAGGAGCAGGCAGATAGCAGAAACCTCTGTGGGGGCAGTGGGAGGAGGGGAGGGGTTCTGCTCCCTGGCAGTGCTCCCTCTTAGGAAAAGTAGCCAGGGAAGAGGAAGCTTTGGGCCACCCCTCTGGGCCAGAAGCCCTGAGCTCCCTCTGTCCCCAAGGGCTGACTTCCTTCTTTCCTTGCAGGGAGTTCCTGACAGCTAGAATCTAGAAGTAGAACTATGAGCTCACCTTTGGCCTCCCTTAGCAAGACCAGGAAAGTGCCCCTGCAGCCAGAGCCTGTGAATCCTGGGTAAGGAGCCGGCCTCAGGGGGTCTTTTTGTCCCTGCCCTGTCTCCTTGACCCTCTCTCGGCCAGAGGAGAATGACTCCTAGCATCTTTGGGGTATACAAAGAGTAACATAGCTCTCCCGACCACCTTCTTTCTCTGTATACCTTCCTCTGCGCCACTGTACTTTGTGTCTGAGCATAAGCTGGATGGTGCCTTCTGGGAAGGTGTGGGCCTGTGGGAGCGGCTCAGCGTCCGCCTGTTCATTCGGGGTTCATTTATCAGCTCTGCAAACACCAGTGGTCTGTCTACCTGTCCTGGGCCGGGCCCTGTGCTGGGCTCTCAGCAAAGGGGATCTTTTACATCTGTCAAGCACTTTCATCTTTTCCAATAATTTTCTATCTCTCTTTTCTTCTTGCTCTTCTGAACACCATTTTGAGTCATTCTGAGGCCAAGAAGGTCCAGAGAGATCAAGCGATGGGCCTGGGGTCCATGGCCGTTTTGGAGCAGAGCTAGAGCTGGACTCATGGGCTTTGGAAATCCTGTCACCTTCCCACCCAAGACTCTGCCCTTCAGCTCTTCCCACCCTTCTCCAGTGGGAGGACTCAGACACCCCAAAGCTCGTCCATTGGCTCACCGAGGGCTGGGGATGGGATCCAGGGTAGAAGTCCTCAGGAAGTAAAGGCCCAGCCTCCATCTCTTTTAGCCTCAGCTGGGACCTGGTGCCCCGAACCCTTTTCCTGGTGATGTTCCAGGGGATCCTAACTTGTGTTTCTTCCTTCTCTTTCTTGCCTGGGTTCCCAGGAGGCGAGGGATAAGAATCTACAGAGATGGTAAGTGTGGGCTCCGGCCTCGTGTCCTCCTTGCCTCCTGTCCGCCTGGACCTCCTGCAGTTGGGCAGATGGAGAGAAAACATGATAGAGACCCCTGTCGGCCAGAGCAGCTGGTCTGGCCAGAGGGTCACCTGCAGCTCCCTACCCCTTCCCCTGACGACTGGGTTTACCTCCTGGTAGCTCCCAGATTAGGAGGTCCCACACCCTCAGCAGAGATGTCATCACTAACATTTGAACCCCTTGACCCACTGCGGGGTTGGCCAGTGGGTGCCTCGACACCATGCGAGGGCCAAGAGATTACCCAGCCCTCCCTCCCCTGCAGCCTTCTCCAGCCCTTTACAGCCCTTTCTCCCTGAAGCCCTGTCCTCACATCGCTGCCCTGATTCTTGTAGGCCTGGTCTTTGGATCCCAACCCCACCTCTGCCCCACTGTGGCGCTGGCATTGGCCACTCAGGTCCCCCCAGGAGCTGGGCTGGGAGAGCTCCATGCAGAGGCCTATTTTGGTTGGATCCTTGCTCCCTAGGTCCTGAGTTTTCTATCCTCATACTCTTTGGGGGGACAGTGTATAGCTGCTTCACCTTGGCCAGGGCCTGAGTGTCCTCTGGGCATCAGCCCCAGAGCAGTGACCTGGGTGTCCCTGTCTGCAGAAGATGAGGTGGATATGCTGAATGGAGGACATGGCTCGGAAGAAAGGATCTCTGTCCCCTCCTGCTATGGCCAAACCGGTGCCCCTGTGAGCAGGCAAGGTGAGAGCAGAGGCCCAAAGGGCTCTGGGTTCCAGCAGCAGGAGGGGGCCCCAGAGAAGAGGCGAGGCCCAGAGTCATGGCACCTACTCTTGCCTGCCTGCTCTGCGGCAGCAGCTCCCACTCCTGGCTGGCCGTGGCCATGTGCCTATAACCCCAAACTTTCCAGGACCAGGTGTGGCATAAAGTCACAGGCCCCACCCTTAGCTGGAGGCCTGGCCAAGCCCCAAGCCAGGCTGTGACTAGAGCCTCTGGAGTGGCCCTGGCTGGAGTCACCATCAAGTGAGATGTCAGTGGGTTCAGGCTTCGGGGTCAGGGAGGGATGAAGAGAGCTCCACCATCTCTGCCTCCGTTTCCTCCTCTGTGAAATGGGAATGGGGATGCCTAGGCCAGCGTGTTGAGTGAGAAGTTGACGAGAGGCACTGGGTGGAGGGCTCCTAGCCGTGCTTGTCACATGGGGAGTACTCGGATTGGTGGCCCCTGTCAAGAGGTCAGCAATAGGAAAGGGCCTGGCGATCATCGGCCAAACCTCCCCGCCATTTTACAGGCAGGAGAATCGAGGTGGAAGAGAGACAGGGAGAGCCTGGCCCAAGGCCCAACAGCCATTTAGTAACAAAACCAGAATCTCCTTCATCCCAGCTGAGAACACGTTCAGTAGTAACCGCAGCGACCAGCTCTTCCTCTTAAATGAGCCGTGGACGTCCTCTCTGTACTTCTCCTCTGTCATTCGCTCCTTGCCCTGCTCCCAGCCAGTGTCTGTCT